AGGTTTTCGAGGAATACAGGCCAAGAGCTCATCCCAAACCTCATGGTGGTCACAACTTGCTCATGAGGGGAAGGGGGGCAGGCACTGAGCTCTGCTCTGTGGGGACAGGACTCGAGGGGATGGCCTGAAGCTGTGTCAGGGCAGGTTTAGGTTGGATATGAAGAAATGGTTCTCCACCCAGAGGGTGGTTGGTTGGGCTCTGAACAGGCTCCCCAGGGCAGTGGGCACAGCCCCAAGGCTGCCAGAGCTCCAGGAGGGTTTGCACAACGCTCTCAGGCACAGGGTGGGATGGGTGGTGTGTCCAGTGCAGGGCCAGGAGCTGGACTCGATAATCCTTGTGGGTCCCTTCCATCTCAGAACATTCTGTGAATCTCATCTAGTGAGTGAGAGGGACCTGTGCTTTATTATACACACATATGTGGCAGGAGGTTGGCACTGGATGATCTTATGGGTTCCTTCTAAACTTGCCCATTTTATGATTCTTTGTATAATATCACAGAATCATGGAGTGGGTTGGGTTGGGAGGGACCTTTAAATGTCATCCAGCCCAACATCCTCGCCATGAGCAGGGACATCTTCAGCTAGACCAGGTTGCTCAGAGTCACATCCAACCTGACCTTGAATGTTTTCAGGGATGGGGCAGCCACAGCTTCTCTGGGCAACCTGTGCCAGTGTTTTACTGTGCTCACTGTGGCAAATACCAAACCATACAGCAGTTTACACCGACTCAGATGGTCCATCCTCCCTGGGTAGTGTTTAGGGTGCTGCAGATTGGCTGGTGTTGAACCTGAGAGAGACCCTGCCCTTCTCTCTGGGGCTCAGCCTGAAGCCACAAAAATGTTTGCAGTGTTGTGGTCAGTAAATCTGCAAAGAGCTGAGCTCATGGCTCGGGATGGACCCAGAAATGTGGGGAGTTAATTAAACAGTTGTGGCCTGTGATGCTTCTCCTGAGCCTTTAAGGCCCTGCTGCAGTAAAACCTCCTGAAAACCTGTTATTCAGCCCTGTGGCTTCACCTCTTGCCTTTCAATAGTGTTTTATGTTTTGACTGTCATTAACACCCATATAAATGAGCCAAAGGTCATCGTGCCTCTTATTTACACTTGAATTCCCTTCTGTAAGCAGTGGCTTTTATGCCACAGCATATTTTTGGAATCTTCTTAGTTTCCCATCCTGGTTCTGCTCACTGTAGTCTCTTCAGCTTGTATAAGGATTACTAACTACCTTTTTTTCCCCTTTCCTTTCTGCGCTGTTACTTTGCTCCCTTTGTTCATCCATCCCCTCCCATCTGGCAGGGAGCCTTGTGGAAAGGTCATCACCTTGCTCCCTCTCCAAAGTCATCTTTAAACTCCTTTGGCCTCATACCTGCAAAGAGCAATGGCAGTGGTGAAGGAGCTGAGGTCCCTCAAATTGTCTCCCTGTGGTGCTGAGGACTCACACAATCAAGTTGTGGCACTTTGTGCCTCTGCTGAGCTTGGGTATCTCCCACCATCCATGAAGGGGTGATTGCACTTAATTTACACTACAATTAAACCAATTTAGCCCAGTTGACTTCCCTCCTCTTTGCATTTTCTGGCCATGGCTAAACTAAAATACAGGAGGCTCCATCTCCATTTCCACAAGGAAACACTTTTTTGCTGTGAGGGTGACCAAGCCCAGGAACAGGTTACAGTCTCCATCCTTGAAGAACTCCAAGAATATCCAAAAGACATCTGGTCATGCTTCCATTCAGCCAGTTTTAGGTGACCCTGCTTGAACAAGGGGTTTGGACCAGGTGTTCTCCAAAGGACTCTTCCAAACTCGACCATTCTGTGACTGTGGGAAAGGAGGAAACTGAGTTCTTGTGAGACATTGCAAGGTTATTGTTACCACAAATGAGAGTTTAGCTGTGACTTCTTCAAGTGAAACTTTTTGTTATTTATCTTTTAAATGGAAAACCTCATCCTATTGCTTTTAGGAGCAGATGCACCAGTCTGACAGTGGTAACATTTCTGATCAAAGTGAAACACAAACCCCACAAAAAGCAGATTGTTTCATGGATGATAACTAATACCACTGGACTGAGGGGACTCTGTTCAACGCAGGGACTTGAACCTTCTTTTCCCACAACCTAGAGAAGAGCCTGGAGCACAAACCTAGTGGTAGTAGGAGGTTTTCCATCCTCAGTGAATCTTCTCCATTCTACATCACTAATTACATTAATTGAGTTATAAACCCCGGTCTCCTCTCTTATTAATTCTTCAGGAATACAGTTTGGAAAGTTTTGGCTCTAGTCTGAGAGGAAATGAGAATTTTTGGGAAATCTAGGGAACTTCCAAAGGCTGGAGATACCATTTTCAAGTCTGGAAGCACTGTCTGTTCTGATGCTGCCACTTGGGTTTTCAGTGCCCTTCGTTGGTGCATCATTCTAGGGAAAACTTGTGCTACAAAAATAGCGAGAAACAGTCCTGTAAAATGGCACATCCAGCTCCTGGTGCTTTGAAAAATTTACCTTTCCATTGACAAATGATCAGGCTTTATTACCAAAGTCTGGTGGGTAAACCAAGAGCAAGGGAGGCCACCAGAACTGGCTGGATTTTCACTGGTGGGCTCTGTGGAAGAGCTTTAAATTGACCTTGAAACATCAAAAATCTCAGTTTAATACCTGTCTGAAGTTCACTGCCTGCAAACCTCAGAGTAAGAATGAACCTTCTGAGGCACTTTTCCAAATTTTCTGTGGTTTTTTTTTTTGTTTGTTTGGTTGGTTTGGTTTCAATATAGAAACTAATCTGGTAAACAGTAGTAATTAGAAATGCTGTTTGGTCTGAGGGGAAACATCAGTCATCATTTGAGCCAAAACTGTGGTGAGGTAAAATCTTTATTTTCTAACCTTGTCCTTTTTACACCTCTCAGACATCAGTGACCAAGGATTTCTTGTGTCACACCGTGTGGTGAAATTGCACATCTAAAAGTGGCCTGAGCAGCAAAGGGTGGCAGAAAAACTTCTGTGGGAAGTGAGTTTCTCTAAAATCAATACTATTATTATTATTATTATTATTATTTTTTAATCCCAGTGATGTTGTGTCATTGTGCTTCCCTCTACCTGAGTTCCCACATCTGCTAAAGTATTAAGACAATTTGAGAGAGGCAAGAATTCTAAAACAATCAAAGAATTTGTGAGGAAGTGCAATTAAAAAGAAGAAATATGAGAAAATAAGGCTGAAGGAAGCACCCCTTAGTTCACTGAGGGTAAGCAACAAAGAACCAAAACCACAGTGAAATCTAAAATCATCCCTAGACAGAAAGGAGGAGTTCTGAGCAGGAAACAGGAAGCAATGAACTTCAGATAATGGGATCCATTGTAATGAAGAAGAAATAACAGAAATTGCATAACACCTCAAAAAAAAAAAAAAAAAAAAAAAAAAAAAAAGAAAAAAGGTACTGAACAATCATGGCCTTGATTTTGTTTGCCCAAGATCTCTTGTGATCCCAATGTGAAGCCTGGCCAAAGGAGCTGCAGGCAGTGACAGTGCAGGAAAAGCCTGAGGAGCAGCTCCAAGGTGTGCTGGACTTGCTGCTCCTGGACCAGCTGGGAGAATGAACCTTCAAGAGCTTTCATGGAGTTCAGATCTCCTGCAGAGGCAAATTCCAGGGACAGGTTTAGTGTCAAAATCTGCCTGTCACAAGGGTTCAAGAGGTGATTGAAGCCAGGGGTGAGGCTGCTGCTGATTTCAGAGCAAAGCAAGTTCCATGGCTGGGAGGACGTTCAGATGACTCAATTGTCAGAAATTTCTGGAGGTGAAACTCAGATATTTTCCTGACTCACAGCTGCAGAATTGATTTGCTGCTGTTTGCAGAGGTTTTCTCACTCTTGTGTGCAAAGAACCCCATTGTTGGAAGTGTTTGCAGAGCTCCGGAGTTTCACCGATGCCGTTTCTCATCTGAGAAGCGAGTTTTGGCTGCTGTTTGTTCCCTCTGGTTTATTGTACCAGCTTCCCAGCCAGGGGGAGACAGTTTTGTGTGATGAATGGCACCAAAGGAACGCCACAATGGTGGGATTGGTGTGAGGTGGGCAGGGTAGGAACTGCTGGTCAGAGATGATGCTGGGGGATTTGCAGTTTACTGCTGAGTGTGTTTTTGCTTTGTTATTTCTGTATGGCCAGGGTGCATCTCGGCCTTTTAGGCTACAAACCTCTCAGGGTAAAGCTTATCCTGATTGCTGGTCCCTCCTCCTTTCGCTGGATTGAGCCAATTTGGGTTTGAGGAGCAGAGATGCTTTCCCAAGTGAGAAGTGCTGATCCCGGATGGATCAGGAAGCCCAGTTTTGGCTGAAGGAGTGAGATGTCCTTGTGTTAATTAAGGCTCTTTTTAGCTGGTTGGAGGCACTCAGCCTGCTGAAGAGCCCAGGAAATCTCCCTGTCCTTGAGCACACATGTTAAAACAGGCAACTCAGGTTTTCAGGGTGTGTTTTTTCCCCCCTCACAGCCAAATTTTGAAGTGTGTGGTTCTCAGACAAAGAGTGGAGTGGAATTCCCGGGAATGCCATTTGACCAGGCAAGGTTTGGGTTTGAAGGACTGCATTTAGTTCCCAGGCCTCCAGTCTTACCTGCACCATGTGAAATGAGCACTTTATCTTATCCTTCTCTCAGCTTCTCACAGGCACAAATAATGCACTGATCTGTTTGGATAAAATGTTTCCACAAAAGAAGGAAGGAACAAGAAGGAACAAGGCAATGTGACAGTAACCCTCTCAAACAACACTGGTGCAGTGCCAGCACCCAAAGGTCTGGGTACAACTGGCATTATGTACCATTAGAAGTATTAAAATGCACTTTGTTTCTCAGGTCTGCACTTTACAACCCAATGGGTCCCTCCAGTTTGTACGTTCTGTGTAATATGAAAACTTCATAACAGAGGAAAAAAGCAGGAGAATTTTACTCCAGGTGTTACAAGGATTGTGCTCTGGCATTTGTATGACAGGTGAAAGTTTGTTTTTAAGCTGTGGTTTTCTCTTTCCTCCCAGGGAACGTGACCAGGAATTGCACAAGCCAGGGCTGGTCGGATGTGTACCCTGCTCCCTACACCGTAGCTTGTGGATACGATTCCAACAGCACTCCAGGGGAAGAGGTTTGTAAGCCTGGATGGGTAGACATCAACATTTAACAGGGATCAGTATCAGATGGTCTTCCCATGCCCAGTTTTTTTCCATTTCCACAAGAGAGCCCTCTGGAGGATCCCTGGAAGCAGAGTTCAAATGCTTGGCCAAAGGAATGATCTTCCCTTTGATTTTATGGAATCGTGGAATGGTTTGAGTTGGAGGGGACCTTAAAGACCATCTCATTCCAACCCCCTGCCATGGGCAGGGCCACCTTCCACTAGACCAGGTTGCTCCAAGCCCCGTCCAACCCAGCCTTGGACACTTCCAGGGATGGGACACCCACAATTTCCAGGGCAGTGACATCAGCTGTGAAGATCAGACCAATGCCTGTGTGATGCCCACAAATACCTCCAGGTGCTTCATTTTCCATGGTCAGCTTTGAAACCAGGCCCCCACATTTATGTTTTTCCTTAAGTAGATACGGTGATTCCAGTCTTTCTAGGGCAACACTGGGATCAAAAGGGATAAAAAGGATATAACTCACTTGCCATCAGTGCTGCCCTGCTGATCTCAATCCGCTGAATATCTAGAGCCACTGTAAGGAGCACACATTCCTGTGCAATGTTCCTGAATTTTGGAAGGAAATCCTCAAGCTCTCTGGGATGTTGTCTGTATATAAATTAGCAATTGCTGACCGAGGTATAAATAGATTTATTGGGGATTGTCATTATGCAGGGAGGAGTTTGTTATTGGTTTGTTGCATCCTGGGACATGAAGGGTAAAGTCTGAAGAGGGTGACAAATGTCAGAAGCAAGATCCGCCTCACCTAACTCAAAGTTCAGCATCTAATCTAAACTGAACTAGTCCCCAGTAACTGCCACATAATCAACAAGAGAAAGCTTATGCTAAAAAAAGAATTTTATTTCACAGCAATCATACAGTGTTTATATTTTTATATAATACATTTGTATATTTATATAATATGTTTATATTAAACCCCTTCCCATGGTTGTTGTTTGTTTTTTTTTCTTTCTGTTTTATGACATGTCAGTATTTGTGAATGTTGGACACAGGAATCTCAATAATGAATTAATGAATATATATTTCCAGTGCTTAGAGGGGGCTTACAAGAAGACTGGAGAGGGATTTTTCACAAGGGCATGGAATGATAGGACAAGGGGGAATGGCCTTAAGCTGAAGGAAGGCAGGTTTGGGTCAGATATTAGGAAGAAATTCTTGCCTGTGAGGATGGAACAGCACTGGAACAGAGAGGTTGTGAACTGCCCATCCCTGGAAATGTCCAAGGCCAGGTTGGATGGGGCTCTGAGCAACCTGGTCAGAGAGGTCAACCATGGTGAGAGGTCTCAGTGTGTGGTCCCACATTCCCAAGCCACTCAGAGAGTTAAGAGAGGATCTGAACAGAACTGAGGCGGCTTCAGGAGCGGAGGAATACAGAAAATAGCAAAGGGGAAGTTGCACAAAGAACTTCAGGGCTCTTCTGAGGAAAGTCTTAGTCTGCCTTCAAGGTCAGCCACCGCTTCACGTCCTCAAGTGTCCCATCCCTCAGACCGAGCTGAGGGGCACCAGCTCAGCGCTGCAAAAGCCATTGTTACAGGTCTGCTCTGGGAATGGTTCATGTTCCAGGGATTTGGGAATTCCTGGGACGTGCTTTGGCGGCCCGGTGCACTGCAGCAGTGCCAGAGTGTCGCGTTACCAGGAGAACACGGGTTGTGCTCTTTTAATTCTTTCTTAATTATTTTCTCCCGATTTCTGCGCTTTTGTCACGCTGTTTGAGTCTAATTTGTGTGAAAGGAGGCTGAGGGGGGTGAACATGCAGTGCTAGCCTGGGAGGAAGAACAGGTTTTTTGTTGGTGGTGAATTGGCTGTCAGTTTGGGGAGGAAGAAATAAAGGGAATAGAAAAAAAAGAACAGCAGCTTGTGTGGGACACGAGGTCCAGGACAGACTGATAACCTTCCATGTGTAGAACACTTCATGACCTCTTGGGCTCAAGTTTGGGCCAACATGTTTGGCAACTGAAAGACTTTTTATATCAGTGTTTCTCTTATTTTTCCCTTACAAATGGAAATGTTTCCCGTTATAAATCATGATACCAAGGGACAAATGTTGAGGTTACTGAACAGAAACCAGGGAAGATGATTCTCAATTAGTCTCAATTTAGCATCTACCTGAAATAATTGTTATTATCACATTCCTGTGAAATTAAGCAGAGGGTTTTAGAAGTCAGAGAGACAATGATGAAATTGCCTGATTTAATTCTGTACGTCAGCCTAGGTCTTCAACTGGAACCCAGGCATCCTACCATGCATTGCCTTCATTTACCTAAATCCCTCCAGTTCCAGTGATGATCTTGGGTCAAATTCTCTGCTTTGATATCTGTAAAGTAGGAACTGATTGTCATTAGCGAGTGCAAATGAAGAGTGAGAAGTCATTATATGCTGTTTCCAGAACAGAGATGACCCCACGTGCTCCATTAAAGCTGAGCTCAGAACCATCCCTCTCTACACAAGAATGTCATGAAATATTGGGAATTGCTTGTTGAATAACACCAAGGACTTTCCTCCTGCTGGGAATAACTCTGAGAATCAAAAGGCTGGATCTGTATTCACACTGGAGATTTTCCATCCACCACCTCACTGCTGACATCTCCTGTGATATCCCTTAATTTCCTTTCCCCCATTTCTCTGCTCTCCTAAATACAGTGTGGGACAATCTCTTCCTCAAACACAGTCCCCTACCACAAGCTCCCTCCTTCTGCTGGCCAGGTCTTTCCTGGAACGTTTCTGCTCTGGTGCCATCAAGAAGGGAACTAAATAATGAGAGCAAGATGAAACCAAGAGGAAAAGTTTTACTGGAAAAGCCTCAGCTGCCTTTGAGATCCCAAACTCCAATAAGGCTGGAAAGAAGACTTTATTTAGGTAGCTTGGAGTGTCTTGTTTAAACCCCCCCCCCCTCCAAGCTGGCTTGTGCAAATGCTAAAGGGATTGCTACTCATCTCAGCCCCACTGGTTCTGTAAAGTACCAAGTACTTGTCAAGGCCTGTGAAAATAACATCTAAAAATGTCAACTCTCAGTGTTATTGAAGAGCATTTCTCCAAACAGGGTTGGGGTTAGATTTTCTGTCTAAACCGATCTTTGTGGTTTTGGTTGTTTGGGTTTTTTATTGAAAAGGAGGACAAGGAAGGCAGAGAAGTGTCAGTCAAGGGGTGGAAAAAATGAGATTTTCCACAAACCGAGATAGATTCTCATGCAAACTTAGATTTGTCATTGATAAAATAAATGACTAAATACTTTTGTCCTTTTTTGAGGTGAAAATCAGAGCATATTGATTTAGAGTGTTGCTGGAATGCCTTGGAGAGCTGGAGTTTTGCTGCTTTACTTCCCCGTTTTGTTTAGAACAGGATTCCCTGTTGGATTCGTGTCCCATGCTCAGGAATTCCCTCTGTGTCCTGTCAAAGAGCAAAGCCATGAACCAATTTCCAACTCATTGTATATTTCTGAATTAACTTAGGTGTGACTTCAGTGAGAATGCTTTAAGTTACTTGCCTAAGCACAGCGTGCAACTTCCACAAAAACAAACCAATTTCCCGAGCATTTTGCCCTCAAACTTCCTTAACAAGCTTGGAGCTGCTCGTCCTCCCTACGTGATGTGTCAGTGTGCTCTTTAGCTGAACATTAGTCACTCTTGTTCCACAAGGTTCTAACCATGTAGCTGTCTCTGCAAGTGTCAAATCAGGCTCCTTCCAGCAGGAACATTTCCCTGGTGGAGCTCTAACCTGGTTTTTGGAGTGATCCAAGCTCTGCTGCTACAGGACGTGTTCTTATTCACACCGGTGGTATTTGAGTCGTGTGCTCTGCTGGATGTGAAGGGGTTGGAGTTGTTTCAAGAGGACGGAGAAGGATGAGTTCCCTGTCTCACCAGTCAGTGGTGCTGTATTTAGGAATGGATTTTGGCAGCTCTTTAAAGGACCTGTTTTGCCTCTTTCCTTTCCCCCCCCACCAGCAAACGGCGTTCTACGGCACGGTCAAGACCGGCTACACCATCGGACACACCTTGTCCCTCATTGCCCTCACAGCTGCTATGATCATCCTGTGTCTCTTCAGGTAAGACCACGAGCAAAAAAAAGGCACTCAGAAGGACATAGGGGCTGTTAAAGTTATAGACTTTATAGGCTATGGGTGGTACAGATAAATGCCCAAAAGTTCTGGGTTGGATTAGCGGAGGGAAGTTCTCCCGTCTTTTGGCACCACTGTTTTTCAGTGTGTGATTTGTGGCCTTTGTGTGAGATTTATAACCCCAATCCCATTTTTATTTAGGTGGATTTATCTCACTAAAGGTAGATTGTTACATGATGGATCCCTGTATTAGAGGCCATTATCCCATAAACCTGTTATAGTCCACAGAGTCCTAGTCAGATATATGGATACTACGGAATTTCTACTCAAAGTAGGAATTCAGAAGTGGTACTGATTAATCACACTCCAAAACTACCCAGAATCACAAAATCCCAGAATGGTTTTGGTTGGAAAGGACCTTAAAGATCATCTTGTTCCAACCCCCTGCCATGGGCAGGGCACCTTCCACTAGCCCAGGTTGCTCCAAGCCCCGTCCAACCTGGCCTTGGACACGTCCAGGGATGGGGCAGCCACAGTTTTTTCTGAGCATCCTCTTCCCTCTCAAAGTGTATTTCAGAAACCCTTCCTGCTGTAGCTTTATGGCAAGACAGAAACACCCAGAGCCACTTTGAGTCACGCTGGTGGCTCTGAGATGTGCACAAGGGCAGCAGATACGGTGCAGGACCTTCAGGAGACCCCTGCCCTTATGGATTGATGGGCAGATACTCTGCAGCTGATCAAGTGGCATTAGAAGCCTAGATTATGGCAAATTAATTAATCCTCAGTCTCTTGTTTATAAATGAATCAGGCATCTAAATTTGGGTGCCTCCAATGAAGAGGTCTAAGTTACCTCCTATTATAAAGCTGTTTTGGTGAAGGGAGAACAACAAAGATCAGACCTCTGCGAATGGAAGAACCTCTGGGATGTGGTTCCACCTCCTCCTGTAGGAAAGAGCTTATATTCTGGAGTATAACTCTCACACTTAGACCAAGACTGGCCTCACCTTTCCAGAACTTTGCTCTTTGCACGTGTGCTATCTCCACTCCCTTCCCAGGGAGGAGGGAATCAGAAACACACGCAGATTATCTCAGCAGGGTACAAGGGGCCAGGTTGATGAAACCCTGGAGGTTCACGCTGTTCCTGTGTGGGAAGCGGAGTCATTTGACTTCCCTTCACCTGCAAGTACAGAGGACTCAGTCACATTATCTTGCCATCACCCCAGATTAGGAGCACACCAAGGTGCAGTGACTCATTAGGGGCTGGTCAGTCAATTGTGCTGCTGAGCGAGGTCTGTGGTGGTTCTGGTGTCTGTCCAAAGTGCCCATCTGCAGAGTATTGGGCTCTTCACGTAGCTGGTGTAAAGTCCCACTTGGAAAAAAACCCCAAAACACCTACTTGATCAAAATTCATCTTCAAAATATTAGCGGAAAAAAATAAATGTGTGTTTAACCACGTGCTGGCTTTTCTCTGAAGAGTATTCCCCCCTCTCACAGCAATAAGATTAATATATAAATAAAAGAAAAGCAGTGTAACTATTGTGCAGGATACAAGTGTACATTTATTGCCCGTTTCATCATTTGTATTCTAAGATAATATTTGATTGTATATAATTTCTTTTTTAACTGCTTTCCACTTTTTTCAGATATGCCCTTGATGAATAACTTTTACTTCACATTCTTGAGATACTGTGAGCTTAACGGAAGAAATACAATTCTCAGACACAGATGATTATTTTAACGTGATTTTAAATATTTTTTTCCTGATTTATCAAATTGACCACCAGAATTTTCACCCAATCTATGCTTTAAACCAGATGAATTCTAGCAGTGTTCTCAGTATCATTAACAACCAGTAATTTATAAGTAATAATACAGTTCATATTGCTCCAGAAAGCCTGCAATGCGTGTTAATTTTGGCAACAGATGCTAAGAATTTATTTCCCTTCTTGAACAAACATTTCACTCTGGGAAGAATTATTGCAGTACAAACACTGTGCAGAAAACAACCCCTTATTGTGAGCACAGGCTGCTCGGTGGAAAGCATTTCTTTTTCCAGCGGAGAGCGGTGGGATGGACCTGCTTTGTGTCATTCAGTATTTTGTCCTGCTTTTCTGAGAAATGGGAAAAGCAGCAGGTCTGTGGATCACCATGTTCTGTGGATTTAAAAAGGGCTTTAAGTGGATTTGTGGTGATGAGCATCAGAACAGAGCCTGTCTCGGGGTGTCTGATGTTTAATTGTAACTCCACGCCGTGGCAGAAAGCGACATGCAAATAGGTAAATAACCCTTTTGAGAAGCCTGGCTCTTCAGAAATGTTTCATCTCTTCCCAACAGAAAACTGCACTGCACTCGAAATTATATTCACATGCATCTCTTCATGTCCTTCATAATGAGAGCCATTGCAGTCTTCATCAAAGATGTCATCCTGTTTGAAAGTGGAGAGTCCGAGCACTGCTTTGTGAGCTCAGTAAGTAGCCTTGCACTTCGAAGTTTCCACCTCATTGTGTTGCCCCCTCTTCAACAATGCACCAGAAATCACCTTGCAGATACACGAGAGGCAGGACTTTGGGAAGGTTTCGGGGTTGTTTTTTTTTCCTCGTTTGAAGGGAGAAATATGATTGCTGCAGCTCAGTTTATATGGGAAGGGAATAAATTGATTAGCAGGGTCAAAAATTGATCGGCATCTTGACCCCTTGTGAGGTTGGACTCGCTGATCTTAGAGGTGTTTTCCAACCTGAAGGATTCTGTGAGGTCAGACCCACTACTGAGGCTCTGCTGGATTTGGGGTTCTTGTCAGCCTTGTGTCCATCTCCCAGCCAGCTGCTAATTTTTTGGGTATCCTGGTCCAAGGAGACTTGCAGTGCTGTGTGTAGGGATTCAGTAACACCTTTCCCTCCAGAGTCAGATCCAGACTCACATAACTAACTATCCATGGGGAAGTGCCTGCAGATGAGTGTGTAAAGTGCAACCATAGTCAGTGAGGCTCTGATTAATACATTCACTGGAGCCTGGAAGGCTGTTTGCCTCGTTTGGAATACTGCACCTGGATTTGGATGGCTCCCTGGGCTCCAGGGACCACACCTCTGCAGGAGTTTGGGCAGGAAATCTCTGTGTAGACATCACCATCTATTTTTCACCTGGACCTGTCTCCCACGCTCTCCGTCTGCAACTGTGAGATTTCCCTCCTGGGATGATAAATGAGGGCAGTAAAGGAGTTGGGATTTATTTTTTTTTCCCACTTTCAGACCTGGTGTTATCAGCTGGAGCAAACATTGAGGAGGGAGAAGGGCTGTTTATCTAAAGGCCATATTGACGTCAGGGGACACCAGCCATGAATAAATTCAAGCAGGAAATTAAAATCTCCAAACTGAAGAGATGTGATCACAAGTCATTAAAAGAAAAAAAAAAAAAAGGAAACCTCCATAGCAAATTCATAACACTGCATGAGGTGCTGGCTGGCAATAGCAGGTGACTGGGCACAGCAATCCAGTAAATCCCTTCTGGACCTGTTTTCTTGTGTCACACAGCACCAAAAAAAGAGATTCTCTTTCTCTTCCATTTACCCAGTTTATTCTTTGCCTCCTGGCTTTTCTGTGCCCTAACCCTGAGTCCTGTCCCTGCTGTTCCAATGACCTTTCTGCTCCAGCATCTCTCAGTTGCAGCCTCCTTTCAGCTTTTCCCAAGAACTGTCTGCAGCAGGAAGTGTTCCCTTTGGAATGTCCCTCTGTGCTTTTCCCTCCCCGGGGTTCACTGGGATCTGTGTTCTTCCAACTGGGAGAGCCCTTGAACGGTTAGGATGACATGGAAACTGGAATGAGCAATTCCACAGGTGACTAACTGGCAGAGGAGCCAAGAACCCATCAAACCATGGAGTTTGAACTCACTCCTCACCCCTGAGGGAGGTTGCACTGGGACGTGAGCACAGAGAGCTGTGTGAGAAGTGTTTCCACCCAGAAACAGAAATACAGGAGTTTTCCTGCAGAATCCACAGCTCCTGGAAGCCCCTGTGCTTTCAGGTAGACCCCATGAGGTGTGTTTATCCCCATCAGAGAACTTTCATGTCAAACACCAGCTCAGGGTGAATGGCTGAATGATACACAAGGGTTATAAAATTATGTGGAACAAATCTGTCTCTGCTGCACAACCCCGTGCAAAAATCTGCCCAACCTGTCTTGAACCCACATTATGGACCAACTTTTTAAGTCACAGTGAAAAAAAACACCTACGTAAAACACAGTCAAAATGCCTTTCCTAACATTCATCTCTTTGGAGAAATAGTTCCAAAATCCACTGTGTTCCTGTGGGTTTGGGTGGCTTGGCTTGAGTTAAGTTTGTGCTTCGAAATTGCAGGATAAAGTTTGACTTGGGGACTAATCCATGAACCCAGGGCCTCAGACACAGTTTCCTGGAGGTTTTGTGTGTAATGGCTGGATGTGGCCTTGAGCTCATTCAGTCTGAGGAGAGATTGGAACAAACAGTTCAATTTTGTGAGTGCTGCCACCGCTGTGCTGGTTTAAAACAGGGCAAACCCAGAGCAATAAAAGTGTTCTATTAGAAGAGAAAGTGCCACTCTGAGTTCCTGTGAGGAATAAAAAGATAAAGACACACCCCCCCCCTCCCAGAACAGATTTAGGGCTGTAAAATCCAAAGGAACAGAAGACTCTGATGAAGGGAACAAATTCCTGAATTTGGTATTACCTGTAGCAGTAAGAAGATTTCAAATTGTGGTTTATGCACCAGCCATACCAAAATATGTTAAGCTCTCCAACAAATGTGTCAATGTTTAAATCAGCTGGGAACTGCAATACACGGAGGTGTATATGTAATTGAAAAAAACCCAACTTTTTATTAGGTTTTACTGTATTTTTACTTCATTTTGCCTCGTGTGGGAAACCTCAGTTATGGTGGTAACTCATTTTAATCTCCAACAGCTTTGGATTACTACTGAGCTCAACATAAGCATCCTGGAAAATTAAGTTTGTTGGGCATTTCCGTGGAGGTTGAGAATGTGTCTGTAAGCATTTCAGGGTCAGTGTGGCCAAAATGTATGTGATGAGCATCACTGAGTCCTCACATGAGCCAGCACATGCACCACTCACTGGGTGATGTTTACAGAGTGATGTTTGGCACTCGGAGCCTCCATGAATTCCTTGACCCTGCTTTCTTGATAAATCCTCTCCCTGGGGAAAAAAAATCAGCCTGTTTTCATTGAGCAGAAACCCTGAGCTGGTAAACAGGGCTTGTTTTCATGCCTAAATGTGGCAGGTTTAAATGGTCACTGAACCCAGGACCTGCTCGAGGTCCTTGTCCCACATCGGTGGCTTTACAAATGTCCCTCACTCTTTCTCCTCTTCCCAAGTGTCCATATCTATCAGACCCTTTTCTAGGCACAGTGTGGATCACTTGGCTCATGTAGAAGTATTTAGACCAAAAGTCCACCATGGTGGGATTTCCCAGTGGGAAACAAAGCACTTGCAGGGGCCTTGAATTTGGTCAAGGGGTGGAACCAGCAGAGGAGTCTGATGGCCACACACGGCACATCGCCCAAGGTGCCAACAGCCCTGAGTAGTTTTAGTTTTTCACACTTTTTTCCTTAGGTCTGGTGTGACTTTGTGTCTTGGCATTCCCACACTTTGCCTTCCCCTTTCCTTGTGTCCCTGGGGAACACCCTGTGAACACACAGCAGCCAAAACAGCAAACCTGCCTGAAGGACTGAACTGAACACTTCAGTTGTTGTTTCATTGGATTATTTGTGGGTTTATGGATGGCTTCTGATATATAGTTTCATGACTGTCATATCTGGATACCATAATAATGATGAACTTCTTACATTTCCAGTCTGGCTGAACACAAAAAAAGCCAACAGTTTGCTATAAACAAAGATCAAATTCCACAGATTAAACTCAGGCTCGAGTTTTGAGCTCTGCAGGTTTGGTTTTGTTGAAGATTCAGCCAAGGGAGAATCATCATTTATCTTTTTTGCTGTTGTATTCCAGTAAGACAAAAAATTCCAACAAATAAAAAAAATTCTTTGCTAAGGAGGTTGGGACTTCAGCAACTGTGAACTTACAGACATATCTCATTTTCTCAGAGTGAAAACTTGGGGGTTTCTACATGAACTTCCTCAGGCCAAACTGATAAGAGCTCCAGGCCCCAAAATGAACTTTATTTATGGAAGTTGAAGACAGAGACATTTTCTTTTCCAGTGCACCCCCATCTGAGGCTCATCAGATCCATCTGGGAGTACCAGGACATTCAGGCTCATGGGGAGATGGAAGATTAGAAATCTTTTTTATGCCCTTGTGTAAAAGTGAAGCAAATATTAGAGACTCAACCACTTCACTGGGTTATGTCCTTTAGGAAAGGCTGTTCCCACCTACACAGAGGAGGGACGAGCTCTTTGACAGCATCTGCTCAACTTTGGGTGGTTTGGGGAGAAGAGCAGAACTCTGAAGAGTTCTGTTGGCTTCAGGAAATAGGGGTACCAATGGACTTGTTGTCACAACACAGACCTAACACAGCCATCTCCTCAGTCTGTATTTTGATCAGATCAGATAAAGAGATTTGTATCTTCCAGACAACTTCTGTGGACTGTTATCCACATATCTGGTGATCTCTGCATGTCTGCTGATCACTCCATATCTACTGATCTCTCCCTATCTCCTGGTCACTGCTACAATCTTAAGGTTTACCCCAAAACAAGGGGGGGAGGAATAAAAAGGAAAAAAAGGGGGGAAAAGCCTTAGGGAATGCTCCTGTAAATAATACAAACAAGTGAAAAAACAACAGAAAGAAAGCTTGGGGAAGGAATGGAGACATCCTGAAAATAACCCAGGAGGGAAGGTAGAAAGTTAGACTGGGGAAGAGCTCTGGAGGAGGAACTTTCTGTGCTCACCCCTGACACAGCAGTGCCCCAGTCATGGGCTGGCACCTTAAAGCAAAGCAGTAGTGCCAATAATGAGGGAAAGTGTGCAAAGTGTGAGGAAGGGCATCATTAAAACTCTGCTCACCCTCTCTCTTTACTTGCTGCCTTGTGCTTGACTTGTCTTACCTCTGAAGTTTTGTTCTGAAGTGCCATTATTCTGTGACTGACGAGCCCAAAACAGGCCCAGTTCACCCATTTACCAAGATAATTCTATTTTTACATCTCAACTCACCTCTGAGTCACCTGGAGCCCAGGCTAGACCAGCCAGAGCCAATCACCATCTTAGAAATGCTCCCAAGACTGGCCCCAAAAATCAAATGAGTGTTCCTGAGAGGAGGAATCGAAAGGCTGAGTCCCTCAAAGGCTGACAGGTACAGAACCCCTGCTGAAATGGGTGAAGAGAAAGGCTTAAATAGCTATGAGGGTCACAGTCAGGGGGATTAAACTCTCTTCTAATGTGAGGAAAAGCAGACAGAAAGGTTCCTGATGAATCCAGCAGGATAGCACTGGGATTTGAGGAAGCCTGTGTGGGAAGTGGGAGA